GTGTCTATAAAATTTTTCCTTTATTCTTAACCAGGTTTTTAACAATGCTCTTCTGATAATGTGGTGATTGCCCATGCCAACCATATATGTTTTCTCCTTCCAGATTCGTTGTCCTTTCATCATTGAGTTGAACCCACTCACTAATCCAGTCCAGTACACAAGCCTGGTAGTATAATTTGAAATTGGGCAGTGCACATCCACCCCTTTCTTTATCATCAGTTAAGATTTTCCATTTAATCCTAGCTTTTTTACCCATCCATATGAATTTGCCATTGGTATGAAATGTTTAGAGCCATTGATGTGGATTTATTAAAGTTTATTTTTAGACCTGAATAACTATCAAAGGAGTCAATTATCCTCTTTAGAGGCAGAAATGATAATTCTCGGTGCAATTTAAAAAAATCAACACATCTTCAGCATAAAGCACAATCTTCTATGGCTTCATAGGAACTCTTTGCCTTATCTATGAGAAATCAAAGGTGACATTGTAGGTCTAAAAATAAACTTTAATAAATCCACATCAATGGCTCTGAACATTTCATACCAATGGCAAAAATCCTGGCAGGACCTAATGGACTTGCAACTTTGTCCCTCAGGTTTTTCCTATTTGGGAATAATCATCATGAAAGACATCCAACAGCTCATACCCTGAAATTATAACCCACTAGAAACATGGATGTTATGTAAATCTAAAGAATGGGAGCTTTAAATCTTTCCATCATAGGCAGTTAGTTAGTTAAGATGTTCATGATCCCTCAGCTCTTTTTCCTGTTTCAAACAATCCCATTGACTCCTCCCCCATCTAGATTCAAGAAATGATGAATATTAATTGATCTGTTTATTTTCAATAAAAAAAGACCTAGATTTCCCAAATCCACTAGACCAGGGTCGGCAACCTTTTTTGCCGGCGGGCTAGGAGGGGGGAAATGGTGCTGGGGGCCGGCGTGCGCACTTCCGTGCACACGCTTCCCCCACACGCATGGATGCCCATGACTCCCACCATCGTGCGCATGCATGCATGTGGGGGGGGTGCCATTTTGAAAACCAAAATGGTGCCTTGCATCATGCACGCATGCACACGATGTCAGGGTGGCATTCTGTGGCTGCGGGAGTCCCCCAGGAGGGCTCCCTCCACTGCACCGGGCCTCGGAGAGGCCCAGCGCGGCTGCAGGGGTCCCCCAGGACGGCTCCCTCAACCGCATTGGGCCTCAGAGAGGCCCAGCGCAGCCACGTGGGTCCCCCAGGAGGGCTCCCTTGACCGCGGTGGGCCTCAGAGAGGCCCAGCGTGGTCACAGGGGTCCCCCAGGAGGGCTCCCTCAACCACGCCGGGCCTGGGAGAGGCCCAGCGCAGCCGCGGGGGTCCCCCAGGAGGGCTCTCTTGACCACGCCGGCCGCGAAAGGCAGCAGTGGTTGTGGCAGGACCAGGCAGGGACCGATCGGCGGGCCTCGGCAGGGCGGGTGCGGCCCATGGGCCGTAGGTTGCCAACCCCTGCACTAGACACATCACTTCCAAGAACAGTGGTCTGGCAGTGCTAGATATTGCACTATATTTCCAGGCTTTCCAACTCAGCCAAACTATTCAATTTATTAAGGACAACAGTGCTGCTAGATGGGTAAATCTCATACTAAAGGGACAGCGGCAGCTATCTATAAACATCTCCTGGAAAACACGTTTGGGAAAGGCCAATATATGCACTCATTTTGACAAGAAGAATTAAAAACCAAGATTTCAGACACTACATCAGTTCTCTCTGTGAGGGAGAATACTTTGGAAACAATCTATAGGTGGTTGTAATATTGTTCAAAATGGTTAAGACGCTCTTCCGGATTGCTGGAGGGGTTGTGACTCTAGAGGCTATTATATGCATTTGTGGATTGACTGTCCTAAACTGAGAAAATTCTGGGATGCAGTTTCATGTATCACTGATCAAATTGTAAATTTCTGTCCAATTTTGCTTTTGCTTTCTATTTTTGTTAAAAGTATTTCTAACTTGCAAGATAGAGAACTGATTATTTTTCCTATTACTGCTGCCAGATTAGAAGTAGCCAAATGTTGGAAGTCAGGTGACCTCTCCATTGAGAACTAGTGGTCTAGAATTTGGGATATGTGGTTGATGGAGAAACTGTCTGCTGTAACGAGGTTTTGCATTGGCCACAAAAGAACTGACACATTTCAAGAAGATCGGATGATCTTTATTGACTATGCTAATCATCACTCCCACAAGATCCAATCTCCTACGTCACAGATGAATCTTTGGACAGACTCTCTACACCAGTGGTCGGCAAACTACAGCCCATGGGCCGAACCCGGCCCATCGAGGCCTTGTAACTGGCCTGTGGCCAGTCCTGCCGCACACGTTGTCGCCGCTGTGCGTGCATGATGTGGGGCACCATTGTGCATGCATGTGCACAACGTTGGACGCCATTTTTGAACGCAAAACAGCATCATGCGCATGTGCTCGCGGCACCGTATTGCATTCCAAAATGGTGCCCGCCATTGTGCGCATGCGTGTGCGAGTGCAGGTGCCATTTTGGAACTCAAAATGGCACCCCGCGCTCATGCACGCATGCGCACAATGGTGGGAATAGTACGCATGCGTGCGCGAGCACGCACCTCCGGCGCCATTTTTTCCCCCTTTGGCTCGCCGATGATCAGGAGACAGTGAAACCGGTCCCACCCCCAAAAGGTATGCCGACTCCTGCTCTACACCTTGACAAGCCAGACTCGATCTTGCTAAGAACTAATTTTTTGATTCTGCTGCAGAATATCTACTCATCAGATACATACTTTGGCCCTCTTGGTTAATTGTTGTTGTTGTTGTCATTGCATGGTGAATAGAATGTCCAGCTGGCCAATCAGGAGGCAGCTGAGAGCCAGCCAATGGGATTTAAGATGGGAGCATTTAAAAAGCCCAGGCTGACAGTTGGTGGACAGTTAGAGTTAGTGTTGAGATGAAATGAGAAGACAGTTGAGAAAGTTAAGCCAGAGAGAGGGCTGTGTTTTATGGTGTTCCTGGGGGAACTGTATTTTGGGGAGGTAGACTCTAAAAAGGAGAGACTC